TTTATGATTCGCATACGACACATAAGTCATGTGTAGAGTGTTGCTTCAGTTGTACAGGTAGAGACAGTCGGACTGGCAAAGTGTGTCGGATGGCTGTGTGGGTCGTGGAGGTGTGTTGTTGTCACAGGTGGTACAAGTAGAGACAGTCGGACTGGCCAAGTGTGTCGGATGGCTGTGTGGGCCGTGGAGGTGTGTTGTTGTCACCGGTGGTACAAGTAGAGACAGTCGGACTGGCCAAGTGTGTCGGATGGCTGTGTGGGCCGTGGAGGTGGGTTGTTGTCACCGGTGGTACAAGTAGAGACAGTCGGACTGGCCAAGTGTGTCGGATGGCTGTGTGGGTCGTGGAGGTGGGTTGTTGTCACAGGTGGTACAAGTAGAGACAGTCGGACTGGCCAAGTGTGTCGGATGGCTGTGTGGGTCATGGAGGTGGGTTGTTGTCACCGGTGGTAAAAGTAGAGACAGTCGGACTGGCAAAGTGTGTCGGGTGGCTGTGTGGGTCGTGGAGGTGGGTTGTTGTCACCGGTGGTACAAGTAGAGACAGTCGGACTGGCCAAGTGTGTCGGATGGCTGTGTGGGTCGTGGAGGTGGGTTGTTGTCACCGGTGGTACAGGTAGAGACAGTCGGACTGGCAAAGTGTGTCGGATGGCTGTGTGGGTCGTGGAGGTGGGTAATTGTTACCGGTGGTACAGGTAGAGACAGTCGGACTGGCCAAGTGTGTCGGGTGGCTGTGTGGGTCGTGGAGGTGGGTTGTTGTCACCGGTGGTACAGGTAGAGACAGTCGGACTGGCCAAGTGTGTCGGATGGCTGTGTGGGCCGTGGAGGTGTGTTGTTGTCACCGGTGGTAGAAGTAGAGACAGTCGGACTGGCCAAGTGTGTCGGATGACTGTGTGGTTTCTGGAGGTGGGTTGTTGTCACCGGTGGTACAAGTAGAGACAGTCGGACTGGCCAAGTGTGTCGGATGGCTGTGTGGGCCGTGGAGGTGTGTTGTTGTCACCGGTGGTACAGGTAGAGACAGTCAGACTGGCCAAGTGTGTCGGATGGCTGTGTGGGTCGTGGAGGTGGGTTGTTGTCACCGGTGGTACAGGTAGAGACAGTCGGACTGGCAAAGTGTGTCGGATGGCTGTGTGGGTCGTGGAGGTGGGTTGTTGTCACCGGTGGTACAGGTAGAGACAGTCGGACTGGCCAAGTGTGTCGGATGGCTGTGTGGGTCGTGGAGGTGGGTTGTTGTCACCGGTGGTAGAAGTAGAGACAGTCGGACTGGCCAAGTGTGTCGGATGGCTGTGTGGGTCGTGGAGGTGGGTTGTTGTCACCGGTGGTACAAGTAGAGACAGTCGGGCTGGCAAAGTGTGTCGGATGGCTGTGTGGGTCGTGGAGGTGGGTTGTTGACACCGGTGGTAGAAGTAGAGACAGTCGGACTGGCCAAGTGTGTCGGATGGCTGTTTGGGTCGTGGAGGTGGGTTATTGTCACCGGTGGTACAGGTAGAGACAGTCGGGCTGGCCAAGTGTGTCGGATGGCTGTTTGGGTCGTGGAGGTGGGTTATTGTCACCGGTGGTACAAGTAGAGACAGTCGGACTGGCCAAGTGTGTCGGATGGCTGTGTGGGCCGTGGAGGTGTGTTGTTGTCACCGGTGGTACAGGTAGAGACAGTCGGACTGGCAAAGTGTGTCGGATGGCTGTGTGGGCCGTGGAGGTGGGTTGTTGTCACCGGTGGTACAGGTAGAGACAGTCGGACTGGCCAAGTGTGTCGGATGGCTGTTTGGGTCGTGGAGGTGGGTTATTGTCACCGGTGGTACAGGTAGAGACAGTCGGGCTGGCCAAGTGTGTCGGATGGCTGTTTGGGTCGTGGAGGTGGGTTGTTGTCACCGGTGGTACAGGTAGAGACAGTCGGACTGGCCAAGTGTGTCGGATGGCTGTGTGGGTGGTGGAGGTGGGTTGTTGTCACCGGTGGTACAGGTAGAGACAGTCGGGCTGGCCAAGTGTGTCGGATGGCTGTTTGGGTCGTGGAGGTGGGTTGTTGTCACCGGTGGTACAGGTAGAGACAGTCGGACTGGCCAAGTGTGTCGGATGGCTGTGTGGGTGGTGGAGGTGGGTTGTTGTCACCGGTGGTACAGGTAGAGACAGTCGGGCTGGCCAAGTGTGTCGGATGGCTGTTTGGGTCGTGGAGGTGGGTTGTTGTCACCGGTGGTACAGGTAGAGACAGTCGGACTGGCCAAGTGTGTCGGATGGCTGTGTGGGTCGTGGAGGTGGGTTGTTGTCACCGGTGGTACAAGTAGAGACAGTCGGACTGGCCAAGTGTGTCGGGTGGCTGTGTGGGCCGTGGAGGTGGGTTGTTGTCACCGGTGGTACAGGTAGAGACAGTCGGACTGGCCAAGTGTGTCGGATGGCTGTGTGGGTCGTGGAGGTGGGTTATTGTCACCGGTGGTACAAGTAGAGACAGTCGGACTGGCCAAGTGTGTCGGCTGGCTGTGTGGGTGGTGGAGGTGGGTTGTTGTCACCGGTGGTAAGAGCCATCTAGTTACGGTCTAGTGACTGCACCACTTCTCTCGTAATTGTCCAGCGCCGTCAGCGTTCGGCAAAGTCAAGCGGCCGTCGTGCTCCGGTGCCTTCACATTCATTGTTAGAGAATTGGTGACCTGTAAATCTTATTTGCAATTGGTTTAATCGTGTACTTTTGTTATGTATGTATTTGATATATGTTATCTCATATATGTTTGCTACCTTATTCGGGTATTGAAATTATTTCAGGAATTTAGATTTTCACGCATAAGCGGGATTATCTTGTACTGGAAATATTTATTATGTATTTATGGTCATTTTTTGCCCCCTCAATAATTGTTCATATCTGGTTGTTAATCTATAGTGGTATTAATGGACAGCTTATCTTCAACGCTTTCGTTTGGTACTTACATCTTTCATATTGGTGTAGGAGCTAGGTTGCTATTCGGGTTTTCCATATGTTAGGAAAAACATTGGTTACCTCGCCAGGCTATTTCATTCCCCCTGCTGATTAAACCAACACAGGATGTTTTCTGCAAGTGGATATTCGCGAATGTCACAGGGCTCACACGACTGTTTATAACTGTCAAAGCGCTTCTAAAATTACAACACACACTTTACATCTATAAACTAGTATTATATCTATCTATATACCACTTTAGTGTCTCATATTGCGGTAGCAAACACGGTGCTGAAAGTGAAGCCCTTTTCCCTCTACATTCTCTCTATCAGAAGATGGCTTGTGTTGGGTCCGACCTGGTCCGGGCTGTCAAAATCAAGTTTAAACACACAGATGTATCTTCAAATGTGTTTACATCTATAGACTAGTGTTATATCTACCTATATACCACTTTACAGTGTGTCAGATCGCTGTACTTAAAGAAAACAAGGTGCTCAAATTGAAGCCCTTTTCCCTCTACATTCTCAACACAGTCTCTAACAGAAGTGTTTGGCTTGTGTTGGGTCCGACCTGGTCCGGGCTGTCAAATTCAACTTTAAGCACACGGATGTATGTTCAAATGTGTTAAAATCTATAGATTAGTGTTATATCTACCTATATACCACTTTATAATGTCACAGTGTATCGCATTTAAAGAAAACTGGTCCGTTAAAGTCAAACACTTATACTGTATTTTCTTAAGAAATTCTCTGTCAGAAGTGTTCGGTCCGACTTGGCCCGGGCTGTCAACATCAACTTAAACCTCACAGATGTATCATCAAATGGATTCATCTCTATAGACTAGTATTATATCTACCTATATACCACTTTATAATGTCACAGATCGCAGTATTAAAAGAAAACAAGTTGCTCAAAGTGAAGCCCTTTTCCCTCTACAATCTCGACATAGTCTCTATCAGATGTGTTTGACTTGGCCCGGGCTGTCAAAATCAACTTAAACCTCACAGATGTAACATGATATGGATTCACATGTATAGATTAGTATAATATCTACCTACATACCACTTTTATCCATTTGATGATACATCTGTGTGTTTAAAGTTGATTTTGACAGCCCGGGCCAAGTTGGACCGAACACTTGTCAGACTGTTGAGAGTATAAGGAGAAGAGGTCTACTTTTATCAATGTGTCTGCTTTAAACACGATGAACAGTGACATTAAAAAGTGGTATTTACTTAGATATAGTACTATCCTATAAATGTAAACGCTATGCCGACAGATTGAAATTTGTATCACGACAGCTAGAAGTATTTGATACGTTTCAAATCCTATTTCGTTTAACAATTGCTCTTTTACATGTTACCTAGATTAACGACGCTTACGCACAGCTCCACTTTCTAGTTTTCAAGCGATTTACTCCGAATTACTTAATTATGGTGCACGTTTTTGGTTTGTGATTGCTCATTAATGTCATGTGTGTATGTTGCATCTATAATATGTAGGTATGGTCGCTGATAATGGAGTAATTAGCCAATAAAACTTTCGCCCGTCTTGGCCCGGCCCGGCCCGACTTTTAGGCAATCCCGCGAAGTGCTGTGAAGACAGGAGAACTCCCTTTGAAACTATGAAGAGAGCAGACAATGTTATCGTGCTGCGAACGAACATCAAACCCCTTGGTGAAAAGGATATGACAAGGTAAATACACCCAGGATGAAACCCGAGCTCAGAAAATCCCTCACTAAAGCCATCTGGGATATTAGTACGAGAACTCATCCAAAGTCACAATTGTGATGACATTCAGCCTCCAGAAAGTCACTACAAAGGATTACACCCTCCCTGGACTTTAAAAGCTCCCAAAGTTTACACTGCTTTAACATCAGAAGTCACACAAAAAATAAAACCCAACCCTACTACGATCAGTTGCTTAGACTAAAAATTCACCTGGGACAGCTGGGTCCATATATACACTCTTCAAAAAGAATGAAACGTACAGCTGGATTTTTAGTAAATTTATTGTACCTGAAAAAGTCTATATATTAAATATGATATCATAGATACAAATATGAAATTTTGGAGCTCAGTAGTCACATGCTGTCGTTGTACAAAGGCACTGAAAACTGTTCATTGTTATGTCACAAAAGGCCACAAGTTTGCGCTGAACTCAGTATCCCGTGTGACCGCCCCGGGCAGCAACCACGGCCCTGCATCTCCACGGCACTGACTGGATAAATGTACGAATTCTGTCCTGCGGAATTCTGCGTCATTCTGCTTGTAACGCGTTGGCCAGTTGTGGGAGTGTCTGCGGCGTGTTCTGACGTTGACATACACGTCGATCGAGTTCACCCCAGAGGTGTTCGATTGGGTTGAGATCTGGAAATCTCGATGGTCAGGGCATGACGTTGATGTTGGTATTATGAGGTAGTCTACAGTGACACGAACTGTGTGCGGTGGTCGTTGTCCTGTTGAAACAGCTCCCTCTGGCGGTCAATGATTGCTGTCAAATTTCCCTGCACCACAACAAAGTCAGATCTCGTGGTTTAGGATATGCAGGTGGGTGATGGAGGCAGGTACAGGCAGGTGGGTGATGGAGGCAGGTGGGTTATGGAGGCAGGGGAAGGCAGGTGGGTGATTGAGGCACGTGGGTGATGGAGGCAGGTGAAGGCAGGTGGGTGATGGAGGCAGGTGGGTGATGGAGGCAGGCGAAGGCAGGTTAGTGATGGAGGCAGGTGGGTGATGGAGGCAGGTGAAGGCAGGTGGGTGATGGACGCAGGTGGGTGATGGATGCAGGTGGGTGATGGAGGCAGGTACACCACAACAAAGTCGGATCTCGTGGTGAAGGATATGCAGGTGGGTGATGGAGGCAGGTTGGTGATGGAGGCAGGTACAGGCAGGTGGGTGATGGAGGCAGGTGCAGGCAGGTGGGTGATGGAGGCAGGTGAAGGCAGGTGGGTGATAGAGGCAGGTGAAGGCAGGTGGGTGACGGAGGCAGGTGGGTGATGGAGGCAGGTGAAGGCAGGTGGGTGATGGAGGCAGGTGAAGGCAGGTGGGTGATGGAGGCAGGTGGGTGATGGAGGCAAGTGCACCACAACAAAGTCAGATCTCGTGGTGTAGGATATGCAGGTGGATGATGGAGGCAGGTTGGTGATGGAGGCAGGTGGGGGGGGGGGGGGGGGGGGGGGGAGGTGGGTGATGGAGGCAGGTGTAGTTGTGGTGGTAGTAGTAGTAGTAGTAGTGGTGGGTGTGGTGTCGGTAACAGCAGTAGTAGAAATAAGTTATAGTCGTAGTCACAGTAACAGTAGAAGTTGTAGTAGTAACTGATGTCGAAGCAATCGTAGACGGATAATTGAAAATGTCGCCCTTATGAGCTGGCGTCCATATTACCTGATTCTCATGGGTATCATCTACCTTCAAATACACCACACCACACTTTACTAACGTCTGGTTCTTTGTCGTGGATTGGGGCTTGTAAGTCGAGACTTATAATATATATCATCAACACATTTAATACCATACTATTCAACAACTCTTATCATATGTAGATAACGCCAGTGGTTGTTCGCAGTGAATCAAGAGTGTCTTATTTGGCGTTCAAAAAATCGTGATGGCGCCAAACTTAAGCATCATAACAAGGCAACCACAAAAAGAACGTCAAACTTGATTGATTTTCGAGAACTATGTATGTAGTTCACATGAGTCAGTGAAGACTAGTTATTGCGCCATGTCAAACACTGTGTATATCTCAAAGATTAATTTGATCTTAACAGTGTTCGAAATACCTGCCTGCCCGACCGTCCGAGACGGGTTGATTTAAACTCGGGCTGCCAGATTTTCAAATCCCCCTGCCCGACGGTAGGGTTATATTTCATATGTAAAAATATTCTAAATATTTCCGGATGATAAGCATTATTTACATGATGTATTCTAGGATATTAAATACAAATCTAACCTAAAAAGTGTTTGCTATTTCTTTTCTTGCATAACTTCATGTTCAATGAATTCGATTTAAAGTTTTAATTTAATTATCCTGAGAAACATATGATTATAGTGGGCAGGCAGGTTTTGGTCAGGGCTGGCAAGTATTTCAGCTGGCCAGTCCTGTGGTCTGGCTGAAATTTTTTGGAGTTTCATACCCTGAGAATCTTAATACTCCCCAAAGTGTACCTCACTGTGTGAGTATATTTACGTTGTCGGGAGGTTTTTATGCATTTGTAATGATATCATCCATGGATTTCTACCATTTGGTACGAACTAACACACTTAATTATAGTGACACCAAACGATTACTATAAATTGTTAATCCGAATATGTGTTAATCCGGAATTGGAACGCTGCTGTCCAGATTGTCGGGGTGTGATGGTATTAGGGCGCAGTCTGTTGTGTGTATTAACATATGAATGTTGATCCTGGAAGATAATTAAAGCAAGTAGATAGTGCAACTGTAAGCACGGTAAAACCAATGTTCAACCCCGTGATGGTCAGGCTTAGAATTGGTTTTCAGCAACTAATGCTTGTTGTAAGATGCGACTAACGGGATCGGGCGGTTAGGCTCGCTTACTAAGCTGATGCGTTTTATGATATCCCAATGGTGTTGTCAATCACTGGATTATGTACAGATCTCCGGGTTTTAGTTACATTTTAGGGGCTAACTAAATACCACTTGGGCCTTTGTTTTATTTTACACACGTACTTAAAGTGAAAAAACTGCACCTCATCATGATAGTGTTTTGACTCATGCTAGTTTAAATGCTTATATCTGGAGCACATGTGATAATTACAGTGATACGTTTCTGTTGGGATACCTGTTTTTCTAATACTTAAGCTGTGTCTCACAAGATGCACTCCGCTATGGGGCTAGATAACGGATGTTTAATATCGAGGAAGTAGATTTAATGAAAGAAAGGAGACCACCCAGACTTCATGTTCACACTCAATGACAATACCGGGGGCGAACCGGGATTCAAACCCGCGGAGATAGAAGATAAACTGCAATCATATTAAGACATGCTTGAGTTAGCTTTCACCTTTCGAATATGGATCAATCGATCCCTACCCCAAATCCATGACCCATTGGCGAATACGACTGTGTTATTGGTCTATGCCGTTTTACGTTTGACCTATACCAACTAACATGCCATTTGAAAATATATACCGACCACGCAAAATAAGGCACCTGCTGAAATTATAGTGAATGTGTAATGGCGATAAATGTCTGTAAAATTTATTTCGGGCGTGTAGATCAATATCTGATGTGTCCATCACGGGCGATATATGCATGATTACCTTGCGTATCGTTGCCCTTGGTACTGCACGCCAGAAAAGTATCCCACGTTGGCGGATGGTGTGTCTCGGACGTACACTCTACGAGAACATCCCACAGCTGCGTTATTGGGGTCATGCCATCGAAGATAATCAGTGACGACCAGTGCAAGATGTGGTCTGTCATTGTCATCTAGCATTTCAAGGTTTCTGCTGATAATTCTAGCGAAGGGACACCCAATTTCGTCAACATATCTCTGGCTAGTCAAATGTCAAATCGCAATAACCGAATCAGTTCGCCTGTCATGTATGATGCCGCCCCACACCGTCTCTGGTGTCACCTAGCCCAAGCCAGTCTTTGCCGCATGTGGTAAGCTGTTGGGGTCACATCCTTCACTTCGCCTTGCTTGCATATATTGTACTGCAATTAATGTAATGCGACGGTCTTGTCTAGGTGTCGTCGTTTTTTAGGCGTGTCACGCCCAGTTCTCGTTCCAGCCCCTGTCGTTTGACGGTACTTGTCCCACAGTCAAGAAATTACACACTGATACTGTGTCGGAGGCATTTTAAGTATATGCTTAGCACAATTGCATTAGTATAGGCACACACTTTGGCTTCTGTGTGCACGTGTATTACATGCTGTCCATACATGATGTGAAATTTCATTGTGTTTAGATGTTGCATTCAGATGCAGCGTCACAGTATTGTAAATGTACACCTCAACGACAGCTACATTCACATCATGTCTTCCCTTTCTTCGTCTGTAGTATATATAACTATGCAAATCTTTGTATCACGTAACAATACAACCTCACACCTGCACCAAAGACTGGAACACACATATAATTATCCATAAAGAGTGACTGCTTTAGATAAAACAACTAAATCGTGACATTTAGACGAGAAACGAGGTCAGTTATGACCTACAAATCTATAGATATACTTTTATATACAACAGCCTACAGATATGAAGTAACACCAAAGTAACTTGGGATCCATTGGCTACCACCGAGTGTCGTCTCTACTATTTCCAGTGTGACTTGTCGAGGTATGAAACAAATATTACTTGTGTTAACTCTCTTCTGCCTGGCTTCGGCTGGCGGGAACAAGAATGTGCTGTTCCTTGTTGTGGATGATCTACGGCCACAGCTAGGTTGCTACGAAGGACCAGACTTCCCATCACCGACCTACCCTAAGATGCACACGCCCAATCTGGATGGCCTGGCCGAGAAAAGTCTGCTGTTGACACGAGGCTACTGTCAGTATGCTGTGTGTGGGCCAAGCAGAGCTTCGGCACTGACTGGGAGACGACCCGACTCAACTCACGTTTATGATCTTCACCATTACTGGAGGAAGGAGGGAGGGAACTTCACCACCATCCCACAGTACTTCAAAGATAATGGATACAATACTATGGGGATGGGGAAGATCTTTCATCCTGGCATTGCATCTGGTAACAAAGATCCGATTTCCTGGTCTGATGGGAAACCAAATATTGAGTTCGTGAGATACGGTAAACCATATGATAATCATAATCTCGTAGAGGCTATTCCCGAGTCGAAGATACACACAAATCCTTTGGGTGAAACTATGCTTGCCAATCATGCAATTGACACGCTGAAGAAGGTTTCTCAAAAGGCCAAATCTGGACAACAGAATTTCTTTGTGGCTGTTGGCTTCCACAAGCCACATACCCCTTGGCATTTTCCTGCAAGACATGTAGACTACTATCCAACGTACTCTGTGAAACCTCCGTCAAATATGCACCCTCAAAAGAAAATGCCTCTCGTTGCTTGGGCAATTTCAATGATATGAAAGCATAGCATTTGAATAATGTTGGACAAATTGGATTCAATTTCCCAGATGACACAGTTGTTAATCTTCGCCAGGCCTACTTCTCATGTGTCAGTTGGATTGATGACGAGATTGGGCGTATTCTTAAAGCTTTGGAAGACGAGGGCTTGGCTGATGACACCAGCGTTTCCTTTTGGGGTGATCACGGCTGGGCACTGGGAGAAAATGGAGAATGGGAGAAACAGACCAAGTTTGAGATAGCAACCCATGTCCCTTTTATGGTTCGAGTCCCTGGTCTCACAGATCACGGTGTCAAGACGAACAAACCGACTGAACTGGTGGATCTTTTCCCTACGCTAGTTGAAGCTGCAGGATTGCCAAAGCTCCAAAGATGCCCTGTAAATGTACACAATGTTAAGGTTGGTGCAGAGGGTGACAGTATGGTGCCGCTGATGAAGAACCCCAACGATGGCAATTGGAAACAAGCAGCCTTCTCTCAGTTTGCTCATTATTTGGAAGGACATGGCTCCTTCATGGGCTACACAGTTAGGACAGACAGATACCGCTATACAGAATGGCCAGAGTTTGACTTCAACAGCCACCAACCAAACTGGAACAAACAGCAAGATGCTGAATTGTATGACCATCAAAAGGATCCCTGGGAAACCGAAAACAAGGCTGGCGACCAGGCTTACCATGACACACGTCAACAACTGAGCTGGCAACTACGGAAAGTGTGGAGGAACACTGGTAATGGTGGAGGAGCTTTGATTGGTTGATTCAATTGTAAATTTGCATGGAATAAATATGGAATGATATTGTCTATTTGTCCATTTAGTCAATGTCATTTGTTCAAATCATTCATCATACCTGTATCGTCAGAGAGACAAAAGTAATGTTTACCTGGAATATCCTTGATATAAGAAAGATTTTCTATGTATTTATACTCTCTGAAAGAAGTAAGATATCATGAAATATTGGTAGTCAGAAGAAGGATGGACCTGACACAGTACTACCTGATTTAGGTTCTAACATCCAATCGTGGACAGGGGGTTATTCTTGATTTTGACACATCAGTGAAATGTCGTCAAATCCCTCTGACCAGTTCCGACATATATGCAGTGAACGGAGCTCCAGCTCAGACATGCATGTGGTGAACGAAGTTCCAACTCAGTATGTATATATCCAAAAGGAGTAGGCAATCATGAAATATTGGTAGTCAAAAGAAGGATCCACCTGAAGAAGTACTACCTGATTTAGGTTCTAATCAATCCGAAACATAGCACGCGCACCGTGCACGTGGGCAGGTTTTTTTCTTGATTTTGACACATAAGTGAAATGTCGTCAAATCCCTCTGACCAGTTCAGACATATATGTAGTGAACGGAGCTCCAGCTCAGACACACCTGACGTGAGCAGAGCTTCAAGCTCAGTCATACATGAGGTGGTCGGAGTTTCAACTGAGACATACATGCAACAGTACATCCAGCTCACTGCCGTCTGTGCTCAAGCAGTTGAAATACCAGACAGCATCCACATGGAGTTTAACATTTGCTCCACACCAACTTTATAAACATGCCATTTGAAAATAAGTACTACCAACAAACAAAAAGGGAAATGATGAAATGATAGTGAAGGTGTAATGGTGATAAATGGTCTGTAAAATATATTTCAAGCGTGTAGCCAATATCTGGTGTGTCCACAAAGCAGGGAAATATAAGCACGACACCTTGATGGCATACTGTTGATCAACTTGTGAATGGTTGCTCTTGGTATTGCCGCCCATTCTGCCCAAAAACAACCTATAGGTGCTCTATTGGGGACTTGTCAGGGCACTTAGTGTGGCAGTCCAATGTCCGCATGCATTCACGTATGCAAAATCTACACATGCAAAGAATAACCAAATCTCACTTTGGGGTAAAAAAGGTCATATAATCACAGAACTATTATGAACAAATTCCTCGCAAAAGTTCCAAAGACCCCCTATACAAGTGGAAGTACAAGTTTTATACTTTTAAGAGTCAAAGTGGGACTGCTTCACTGAGTTTTCCTGCCTAGTAACTGAGTCACTGATGTAGACATAGCGTTTATAGGCATTTGGGCGCCAGTCGCCTATGGGATTAATAAGAGTGTTAGACAACCCGATTTCAAAAGCAAATGAGCAACCTCCTCACCGAAAGAGTGACCAGTGTACACGGACAGGTAAGATTTCAAGGTCCTTACAAAACTATTTTAAGTTAAACACTTGGCCTCACCACCGGCATTCATAATGAAATACAATGGGATGCTTCTGTCTGTGTATCAAACAGAAAACTGAGACAGGAGATTATGCAAGGCTGAAACAGGAGACAGTCTGGTGTTCGAAATTGCTGCCAGAGCTAAATGAAGCACATGTTGTCCAAACTATATTTTTCGTATGTCGAACCATCACCGTAGCCATATCCCCTTCTGTGCATATATTAACATCTTTCATGTTAAAATGGGTCTTCTTTCTGGAACTTACACCACTGGCTGATTCAGGAAGCATAGTAGACTTGTGCAAGAAGCAGAGATACCAGGAAGCCAGCCCAAAAGGTAATCCGAAAGGACTTGGACATGGCATGCCTTTGGTATAATTGTTCCAATTCAGTTAAAGCAATAGGCAGTTTCTGCATTGGCGGTTGTCCCCTGAGTCTTGATATCCCACTCTGAATTGCTGCCAGCTATCCAGGATGTTCTGCAATGCAAGGTCGAGATAAAGGTCACTACATGCAGATATCCTGGAATGCTTGAGGTACAAAGAGATCTTGCTAAAAATACTGTGTTCAGAAAAACTGTACTCCTCTTAGCACTGTGGTACTGTCAAACCAGCAACAGAATAGTAGATAAGCATTGTTCATTAATCGATAAGTCTGTTTTGTAGTCTTGGCATTGGTTCCTCGCCTGAACTGTGGCATTTCTGTTGTGCCACTGATTCTGCAAATATATTGAAGTGATATCAGACATGTGGTTCATACATCTTCTCGAGGCAAGGACGTTTACTGACTATAAAAGTCCAGTTTCCACTTTTGCCGAAATAGGCTGGAATTCAAGAGTTCAATTTTTGCTGGACTAATGAGTCTATGCATAGTCCAATCAAAATCACATAATGAACTAGACATTGTTGTTCAAAAGCAACATGGATTTCATCCTACAGATTTATGTCGACTGCAGGATATGCAAAGGATGTGTACCTCCAACTGGACATCGACAGATATTTTCCAAATCTTTTCATGTTTTTAATCAAGGTGCTCCATTAAAATGGCTCGAACGATGATGAGTTGTGTTCTCCCGTGAGTTGTTATGCCACCCCATACCATTACACTATTGTATCTGTTGTCCAATGAGTGCACCACTAGGCTGCAGACGCACTGATAAATCACGTCACA